AGAAAGCTGCTGTGCATTTTTTTTCAAGCACTCTGAACAGATAAGCAAGCACTACAGCTCAGTTCCTTTACTTTCATTTCAGTATCATTACTAATTTAGGGAAAGCCTCGTTACGAAAACAAATTCTAGTTCCTACTATTAAATGTGTAGCATGCAAACACTATTTGTTCTGGATTACCAGACCTCGATTCTTGCTCCATGCACTCACAAGACAATTGTACTAACTTACCTTCTAATACAATTCCAGAAATTTCTCGACCAACAGGTAAAAGATCCTTCTCCATTTTCATTTCTGACAGTAGCTACATGAAAATAATGGTTATAACTTCCTGCTATCACCAAGGCTCAAACTATACATGTTTATTATGATCTTACAGCATTTGATATTCACAACAGGAAAACTGGGCCACTACCAAATGGGGGGGAGGAGCAGGTACCCATTCCTCATTTGATATTAAAACTTTCTTTATGTATTTAAATTTAGAAGCATATAAAGAAAAATAAAAACAGTCATTAGCTGACAAGCCAAACTAGGACTTAGTGCAGAGGATGATAAAAGGGTTTTGCTTGAAGAGCTCACAAGTGACAACTGATCTTTCTCCATAAATTAGGAACCAAATCACAGGTGCCTTTTATTTAAAGAGATATAAGAATACCACATCAATCCTGTGCCCTGTTTCTCAGTGGTAACGCCATATCCTCAGATGTCATAAATGGATTAGTGCCAGGTACCAGATAAGGCACTGGCTTAGAACTTCAACGGAAACTGTAAACACCCCTGGCTTTCACAAAAAAAATAAGCAAATACCTTTGTATCTATCCAGCTCAGTGCACAGGCTCTAACTTGTACTTTCACATCATTGTCTCTTGTAGGATGAAGGTTTTCCTAGGACAAATTTACAGACGTTATACAAAGTAATATGAATGTGCCAGTAGAATCCTCTCAAGCTCTTGAAAGCACTTTCCCACAGTCTTTTAGATTGTCCTGTAGTCAGAACAAGAATTTGTTTTCGATGAAAAAAGAAACTGATATTGCAGTAGATTTAAAACACCAGTTTGAGCACATAGAATCATGAAGGTTGGAAAAGACCTCCAAGATCATCTGGTCCAACCATTCCCCTACCACCAGTGTCACCCACTAAACCATGTCCCTCAGCACCACGTCCAGCCTCTCCTTAAACATCCCCAAGGACGGTGACTCCACCAGCCTCCCTGTGCAACCCCTTCCAATGCCTGACTACTTTTTATGAGAAGAAATGCCCCTTAATTTCTAACCTGAAACTCCCCTGGCACAACTTGAGGCCATTCCCTCTAGTCCTGTCACTAGTTACCTGTGAGAAGAGGCCGACCCCCAGCTCCCCACAGCTTCCTTTCAGGTAGCTGCAGAGAGCAATAAGGCCTCCCCTGAGCCTCCTTTTCTCCAGACTAAACAACCCCGGTTCCCTCAGCCGCTCCTCACAGGACTCATGCTCCAGGCCCCTCACCAGCTTCGTAGCCCTTCTCTGGACATGCTCCAGGGCCTCGATGTCCTCCTTGTAGCGAGGGGCCCAAAACTGAACACAGTACTCGAGGTGCTGGCCTCACCAGAGCAGAGTACAGGGATGATCACCTCCCTGCTCCTGCTGGCTATACACACTATTCCTGATGCAAGCCAGATGCTGTTGGCCTTCTTGGCACAAAAATTTGGGCGTTTCTGCATTGGCCGGGAATCGAACCCGGGCCTCCCGCGTGGCAGGCGAGAATTCTACCACTGAACCACCAATGCCAGATACAATATATACGTTGCTGCTACAAACTGACCACCTTGCTGAAACTCAATTAAAGTTACTTGTCTTTTATGCTCCTGCACATTAAATATCACAGCCTTACCTGAAAGAATTTCACTATGTAATTCCAACTATATTTTAATATTAAAATAAGTTAATAAGTTAAAAATATATTATATTTTAAGAGAATTTTGACACGAGTGTCTGAGATACTGCGCTGTCATACTGAGGTAAATATTCAAGTAGTCCCAGTGATGTCAAAGAAACTGCACCACTAAGGACTGCTGTTGAACCCCACAAATGATGGGCATTTCACATACAAGAATATTCTACTAATGAAGCCTTCCCTTACTATCCCAACTTCTGTTTCTGGGATTGATACCTGGAATGATTTGAAGCGGCTGAGTACTGCTACTTTAAAGCATTTCATTAGCCAAATTGAGTTCTGGACTGGTGACTCCCCAGTTTTTGAAGAGATACCTTAGGTACTAGAGGCAAAAACAACTATTTCCAGGTTATACTGTGGCCTGTAATGTCTGTTGGAGTCAAAATGAAACAATTACAAAAAGTCGTGAGAGCTTAGTTTCTACTTCTAAAGTCAAGACATCTTCTCTAAGTGTTTAAGCTTTCCTTCATCTGTTCTTTAAAACTGTTCCCAACAAACTGCTGTTGCTTTTCTCCTAGGCTTAGCAACGTGAAGGGGAACCTCTGTGTGAGGAATGCTGAGATGAACTTTTTCTCACCCCAGCTGAGCTAAACACATGGTGTTCCTTTAAAATTGGAAGGCATTTTGCCAGTCAGACTGAACTCCTGCTCCTCAAACAAACCAAAGTGGATTCTCACTCTTGGTTCCACAAAACAGCCTAGCCTGTAGGCTGTTGAACTACATCAATACTGCATCTCTGGTTAAAATAAACCCCCTACACTTATAATCTAAGGGATTTATGCAAATTCAAGCTTATATATTCTTTAGAATATTCTTTAGAAATATCTTTTTAGTATACATAGCTCAGTGAGCCTAAGTACTGCTACAATGCACATAACAAAACTGCCATTTTTTTTTTTTTTGTAAAAGAATACAAGAACACAAGCCTTAGGAACAAAAAGAGACAACAAAATGTTTGTGCTGTTAACTGGCTCCAGAATTCATAACTTAAAATGTCAATATTATAATTTGACCAATCACCACGTAAGGAAGGTTTGCTATTCTTCATCCAAGCCCCTCATTTTCTATTAACCAACTGCTGTTCTATCTCTTTGGTCAACTGGCTCTCCTTTCCCTCATTTTTTCAATATTTATTTTAATTTCAGATCAGGATCCCGTAGTATTGGGTGTTATACAGACACCTGCAGGATTAGTTCCTATCTGAAGAGCTTTCAATAGGCAAGTGCTCAGACAAAGAATATACCCAGGAGAGCAGTTCAAGATCTAATTTAGCATACCTAAGAGTGTACCAGAGCTGCCTGGCCTGCCTGCTGCCAGCATCTACATATTCCCAGCCCCTCCTCCACGCTGGAGCCAGCAGTTGTGAAGCCATCACACAGATGTGAACTAATCTCTAAAAAATTACTAGCTCTCAGTCGGACACGTGGGCTGATCTACCTCACCTTATTGCTGCATGACTCTTAGAACCATTGAAAGGAAGAGAACAAAGCTGTGCCGCTGAGGGGTGATCAAGCCTTTTCGGCAAAAGCACAATTTCATAATCAGCTTAAGTGGATTTAAGATAGCTCTCTGAATATGCATCTTGGCAGTATCACAATCGGCCATCTTATTGCATCCTTCCCTTCAGGCAGTTCATTAAATGTGCCTCACTTCTGTGACTTTAGAGCGATTCAAGCAAGAGTCACACCAATACTACATCATTTCATTTTGATACATAGCTTATAGGTATACTGAGCTATCTATATTATACGGGTATACATTAGTTTCTTTTATACATGTAAGAGATTCACTTAAAAACACAGGTTCACATCCTCGGAACCATGTAAGCGTTCTTCAACTGTTCAGACTCCCATACTGCATCAACACACACTTGTTGACATCCTGTTTTAGCCTTACGCCACCAATTCGTGTACGCTTAGCCAATTAATGTTTACATCAAACAGAGAAAGGCTCTTCAGTACAATAGTTTCAACTGCGTTTGATGGAAAACTAGTTGTCTCCTTGTTCCTTCAAGCTGCAGGAAGATGCACTGTGCTTTCAATCAAAGCACAAAGGACAAGAGCAAAGAACTTGCGAGAGGAGAGAAAGTTAATGGTAGAATCTTTTCAAACACAGTAAATTTCTCAAGCTCTATTTCTGCTTTTTCAGTGACCAGAAAATCCAGTCAAGGGACATGCATGAGTATGAAGCCAGCGGTTATTTATTTTATGCTCAAAAAAGCCATTTTTAAAGCACAGTCACCGAAACCGGTCTATAAAACTAGTCTACCATTGGTCTGGCCAAGTGCTGCGCCACGACGGTACGATGTTCCTGCCCTACCTTCCCTCACCGGCCTGCCTGTGCGGTGATAACACGAATTCCAGCCTAACGACGCGCTGGGTGATCTTACACCCTGGTGGCACCCAGCCAGGGCCCCCCGCCCGTGCAGGACGCGCCGTGGCACTCACTCTTTCCTGGAAGACAAAGGTCACGTCCTCCCCGGGCGCGTTCTGCTGGCAGTACAAGGCCTTCATCGCGGCCCGGGAGGGGGCACGGCAGCCACACCGTGCCCGGCGCGGCACCTACGAAGGAAACAAGTTAACCGGAGCTTTGTGCTTTTAAGCAGAACGCGAATTTCTTGCAAGCACCGTAAGAGCTGTGAGCTCAGGGCAGGTGTAGGCGGGGGGAGGCCGCCCAGCGCGCCCACCTCAGCCAGCGGCAGCCAAGGGCTCCGGGCGAGGCGGTCCCGGGCGGCGGCAGGCTCCCGGGCGCCGCTAGGCCGCGAGCGGCGGTTGCCATGGCAACGCGAGCACTTCCGCCTCGCTCCCTCCTCGGGCTCCGCCCCGCCGCGCGGCGATTGGTGGAAGCGGCTGCCGCTCGGCGTAAAAGCGGGGCTGCGATTGGCTAAGCGGGCTGTCGCTCAGTGCCGAGGGGGGAGGAGCTGCCAGCGCGGACTACATCACCCAGCAGGCGGGGTAACGGAGAGCGCCGCAAAACAGAAGCCCCGCCCCTTCTTCCCTCCGATTGGCCAGCAGGCGCGGAGCCCCGCCCTCTGATTGGCGCAGCGCGCTGCCCGTCTCCCCGCGCCGTGAGGGCGAGCGGGGGGCGCCGCGCTCCTCCCCTCAGCGGCCGCCAGACGGCGGCGGAGGAGGCGGCGCAGGGGGATGGTGCGGCCGCACCGGCCGCCGCTGCTGCTCCGCACCCGGCCCCGGGCCCCCGGACCCCGCCGCCGCCTCCAGGGCTGTGAGCAGGGCCCGCGGCCCGGGCAGCGATGAGGTAGGGCCCGGGGGGGGTGTGGGGGTGAGGGGGGGGGGGTGTGAGGCGGGGGGGGGGGGGAGCCGGGAGGGGCGCCCTCCTCCCCCCCTCCCCTCCTGGCGGGTGTTCCGCGATTAATCGCGATTTTGTGCCCCGCGGGGGGCTTTGTGCTGGTTTGTGCCCCCCGCAGAGGTGCTGGGGCTGCCCCCGCGCCCCCCATCCCGCCCCAGCTCTCGGTTACCGTTTTTTGTTGGGCCACACGTAGCTGTTACCTAACGGTTGTGTTTTAACAGGGGAAAAAAAAATCGATAAAAGCCCCAAGTGCGTGCGTTTCCTCCTAAATAGCGGCCGAAAACCAACCCAGCGCGCTCTGTGTGTAGATGCCAGCGAGTGGGGAGCCTCAGGCTCTGCGGTGCTACAGGGCTCAGCCCTCGCCTCGCTGTCCTCTGCCTTTTCCTTTCTAGCCGCCAGCAACTTCCTCCAAGGAGCAAGGTGACATCCTATATATTTCGGTTTTTTATTTTTTTTTTTGACGTAGTACCCGTCGATAAATTCCCCTTCCCATTATAAAACGCTCGCACCACATCCCCGGAGCTGTGCTGGAGGGGTGAGGTGTGGAAGGAGGAGCCTGGCGGCTCAGCTGCCTCCAGGCTCCCAGCTGCAGGGCCGGGGGTGTCCGTGCTCGGCAGGCGAGGTGGCCTGGAGAGGCACAGGTAAGGAGCACGCTCCCGGCCTCTTCTTTACCTTAACATTTAAGCTAAGCAGTCATCTGCACTTAGGCAAGCACGTAAGTCCAAGCGGCTCGGACCATTTCAGCTCGCGTGATTAGCGCCTGTCCGCTCTCACTGATTTTTGGCAGCTTTACAGGGGTCATGTTTCATACAGATAAACCGTTTCTGAACGGTTTCCCCAGTGTGTGAGGCTCAAACTTCATTTGAGCCGAGCAGGTTGCTCTTTGTGCTTGCTGCTTCTCAAGCCACACTTAATTCTTTCAGTTCTCGTGTTCCATCTGTGATATCTCACTGTCTTTATTCCAGATAAGTTTGTTTTCAGTGTAGCTCTTTTTTTCTTTATAATTTACCTTTATATCCCAGTTGAGTGGAATAACTATGAAGATACTGTGTAAAGTATGAGTTGGTTTCCCAAAACAAACCAGAGACCTGCAGTCAGTGCCTGTGCTGTCTCTTGCTGCTGTTAGTTAGCTGGCAGAAAGTCTGCATGCTTTTTCATTAATACCTCCGATTGTGCAATTAGGTTAGGTTTAGATCCAGCAAAGAATGTGAATCTAGCAAATAGATCACTGAGTGGTGATGCTGAATAGCCTTTTTCTGGCTCTATCCTTATGCTGTAGCCACAGGTTGCAATTTTAGTTTTCAGTAGGGTAACACCAGGGAAAACAAGAACTTAGCTCTGTTTGTAGAACAAAGAGAAAACAACAGAAGTTGTTTTCAAAGTGTTGGCAAAGACTTAAGGAAAAGATCATCAAGGAGAGTTATCAACCATGACCCCTTACTTATGCTGTCTTTAGGCATAGGTAGAGTAGGATAAATTATAAGCAGTGTGATTTGTTTGCAGCGTGCATTTCAGGTAGGGGTGTCCCAGTATTTCCCTTCAGGGAACCAAAGAGATAAGATTTTTTTTTTTTTTAAACATTAAAATAAATACTGCTTCTGTGCCTGCTGTCTGCTGGAAACATTGACTTGTTGCCTTTGTGTTTAATACAGTTGCTGAACTCGAAATGGCCCCTCTGCAGTAAATTGGTTTTGTTTTCACTTACATAGCATGAAGCTGGGTAGTATGGTTGACAATTACAAATTTGCTCTAGTCAGAGATCTAATAATGCGTTACTTGTATACATAAAAGTGTATTCTGAGGTGCCAAGGTTTCAGGATGATATTTGCCAAAAGTGGCTACAGTGTTTCAAGAGTACTCTTACTAAAACACAGTGTCACAGATTCTGCTGCTATTTGGGGTGATACTGTTACCCTTAGGTATGTCCTGATACCAGTGCTGCAGTCAGGGATTAAAATAACTGCATTTGCCAAGCCTTTGTACACCAAACCAAAAATGATGTAATTCTGGGGTGTGCATGTGGATGCCTAGCTAATCCACCTGTCTACAGTGAGTCCGTGTAGGTGGCTGCGTGTGTTTGTGCAGGAGGCAGAGGTGGTCAGCTTCTTGACAGAGCGTGCACTGTTTGTGTAGGAGAGCTTAGTTTCTAATTACTGATCTCTTAAGGGCTTTCCTACGATTGAAACTGGAGTTTGTCTGCCTACTTTGGAGTGTCAGAGGATTAACTTCTTGGCCAGCGTGGGAAATAATGGGAAGTAAAACTTGTGTGGGTGGGAGAAGTATCCTATCTCTTCCCCAGAAAGAAAAGTTGTTTTTCCTTTTTATTTCTGGTGGAAAAGATGTGTTGTGATTCAGATCAATCAGAATGCAAACAAATTGAACGAGGTGGTATACGCTCAGTTTGGTTTTCTCTTACAAAATACATTAAGCTCACGTATGTTGGACATTAATTTTTCCTTCTTCGTGTGCTGCTCATAAGATAAATGAATTAATTAGTGCTAGTGTCATTTCAGAGGTCATCTTTCCTTTTCTCTGTCAAGTCGTCCTCTCAGAAGAGTTGGGTGTGTGAAATGTGCTTGGAATCTTAAATAATCGTATTATTAATTGCCTGAAACCCAAATCCCCACTGTAGGTCTCTCTTTTGCAGCATTTCTGAGGCTCTTCACCCATCCCTTGTGGTTGTGTGTGCCCAGAGGATATTCGTGGTGACCGCAGTTCTGGCGGTCGAAATCTAAACACTGTAGATTTGGAGCAGTCAGGTTTTGCCTCATGGCTTGCCTTGAAAATCGTGGGCTTGCTGGTATGTTCCCTTGTGTTTCTCGGTATAATGTGACAGATTAAGCAAGCCCTAGCAATACTTTTAAAATAATTTCAAAGATATTTTGTCTCCAAGAGTCCAGGTTTTGCTTTGTGGGTGTGACTTGTAATGTTTGGGCAAAGAATCCACGTGAAGAGGATCTTGACCTGTGGGTGAAGGACTGGGCAGTAGTTAGTCTGTGTTCTTTTAAGGTACAAGTTTGCTTGCTTCATGTAATTACTTAATCTGTAGGAAAGTTATTAACGTGCTTTAAAAATGCACAGGGCATCTGAGTTTAAATCTATGATTTTTGAAAGCATGCTCACGGAGAGCCACTGGAAATGACTGGGACTTTACCAGAGGGCTAATACCAAAATGCTTTTGGTAGCACATTGCTTTCCTACTTTCATATGTAACTAATATTTACAACAATTAAATATCCCTCTGAAATCTCTCATGAGCTATATGTGAGGACTTTTTTTATACCACTTAGAAAATTTCTAACTTAAACCGCACGTTATCAATCTGAAGTAGTATCTTTGGATCAGTTCACTAGTCAGCTGCTCTGCTTGTGTTTTAGCCACGCTTTTTAAAGATGCCTTCCAAAAGTGATTCCTGGACTCTACAACTAAGAATAACATGATGGAAAGTGAAGTCTCTAACAGATCTTGTGCTTTGTAGGAGAAACTTCCAGCTCACATCATGCATGCTGTGAGCAGGCGGTGTCTGGGTTTCCCAGCATCCTTGACAGTTAACAGCAGCTCTTTTTTGTTGTTCTGGTCCCACACTTTTTAAAGAAAGCAGCAGTCAGTTTCTGTGCCCTGTTTGGTGTTAAAATTTGTGTATGCTTTTACTGAGCAACCACTTATCCTGGAGAGGAAAATAAAGTTACCTATCAACAGGATGTGTTTTCTAAGTAGTGCTCATCATGCAAAATATACGTGTACACTAACTTTCTGTCCATTGCCCTACCAGCTGAACTTAAAGGAAAAATCCAAGATTGACTTCTAGGAAGCTAATTCATGCAGCTGTCTCTGCAGAATGGAGGAGTGTTGCATGCCCATTAGCCCTTGGCTATCCTCTATGTTACATTTTAATAGAATCACAGAATGGTTTGGGTTGGAAGGGGCCTTAAAGACCATCCAACCCCCTGCCAAGTGCAGGGATGCCTCCCACCAGACCACGTCGCCCAGAGCCCCATCCAGCCTGGCCTTACCTATGCTCGTGTTTTGGATTTATCCTGCTTGTACATTAAGTGTTCATATGAGTGATCTGAAGACTCTGAAGGTACAATCTGGCTAAGTTTGATTTTTGGGTTATCATTTCTTTATTTTTTTTTTTAAAAAGCCTGTTAAGTAACTATAAAAATGATTTTTCATGGACTTCTTTTACATTGCAATTTCAAGTCCAAAAGCACAAGAATGTTGTTGTAAGGAGCAATATTTAATATATTGCAAAATAAATTTTCAAGAGGGTCACGGCAGGATCTGCCAAAATTCCAGTGTTAGCTTTTGTGTCAGTCCTGCAGTGTGGGAAGGTAAAAGGCTGAGCAGATCTGCTCAGTTGCCCAGTTCCAGTTATTTTCCGCCGTGTTTAGACCTGAGCTATGCAGTGGTAATCCTGTTCCTGTGAGCTGTTAGGTGTGAACGTGTGCTTGTGCCCATACAGAGCCGTGAGCAAGAAGCAGTCACGCTATGCAGATGATGCACCTGCAAAGAGCTCCCTGGAGCTGCCTCTGGAGGTGCTGTGGACATTCCTGTGCTCGTGGTGAGGAGGTTCAGGCAGAAGCTGAGTTACCTGGCTGTGTTTTGTGGAAGAGGCTCAAATAGGGTCAGGTGGAGCAACTGGCCCCCTCCTTCAGGGTTCTGATGATGGTGATGCTCTTTGCGGGAAAGAGGCTCTTAAAACTGCTTGTACCACAATTTTCTATTTCCCCTAATCTTTGCATCTAGAGAAAAGAGGTGACTGTGTGTTGTAGGACTGTAACGAGTTCCTTGTCAGCTAACGGAGCACAACAGTATCGTTTAGGTGGAAATAGATCACTTGAAATCCAGTGTCGTTTTTGCTAAGGAGTTCCAGTGACTTCCATAAATCTTCAGGGTATTTTGTGGAAACAAAGTTCTTTCCTTGTAGAGAATCGTGAACGAAAACTGACAACTGTGGAGTTCTGCCTGCTTTTATTTTTTTTAAAAATAAAATGCCAGTGATCTGATCACATACCAAGGGCAGTGGTGTAATAGTTTAACTTCTGGAACAAAAATACTGACTTTTTGTTCGAATCACATGTGAATCCCAGCTGGATAAACCTGGCTCTGTTTTTCTGAGGTAGACAGAAAGACTCTTGTGATGTTCAGGTGTTGGGGTGTGTGTTTTTATTGTTTTTGTCATGAACATCCAACATAATTGACTTTTTGGAGATAGACCAGGTCAGGGAACTCTGCATCTGCTGCCTGTGCTCCTGCAGTGCTTGCTTGCCTCGCTCCTTGCCTCTGCCAGCCAGCAGTCCTCTTACCTGTTCTTTTTTTTCCCGTTGTATCTGTATTTTGTTACTTTAATTGCCAAATATATATTTCAGAATCATATAAAGTCTGGCAGGTGTTTTCCTGTTGAAACTTTGTATTTT